AAGGATCACCTTTCCTCCAGTTTCCTATAATATGTTCCTCATTTCCAGGTTAAACCTCACCAGAAGTACCTTAGCATTCATATTTCTAACCATACTCTGTTCATGACAATATATCTACTCTCTAAGATGCTAAAAGTTTTCTCTATATCCCTCCTTTTTTCTTTCTGAGCCCTCACTAGAATGTCCTTTAACACCTGTGTTTCTACCAACAGTCTCTTCAAGGCAATCTAGGCTTTTTCTATCATGCATCTCACAACTCTCCCAGTCTCTACTCATTACTCAATTCCAAAGCCACTTCTACATCTTTAGGTGTTTGTTAGCAGCATTCCACATTCCAGTTGCAAAATTGGTGTAAGTTTCCTAGAAATGCCGTAAAACAAAGTACCACCAACTGGATGGCTTGAACAACAGAAATGTATTGCCTCAAAATTCCAGAGGTGAAAACACTGAGATCAAGATATTGGTAGGATTGCTTCCTTCTGAGGGATATGAGAAAGAATTTGTTCCATGTCTTTCTCCTTGCTTCTGGTGTGTTTTTGGCAATCTTTGATGCTCCTTGGCTTGTAAATGCATCACTCTGATTTCTGCCTTCATCATCACATGGTATACATCATGGGTTTCTTCACATAGTCTTCCCTCTGTGCAACTCTGTCACCAAATTTCCCCATTTTTATAAGAACACCAATCATATTGGATTAGGACCCACCTTAATGATCATATTTTAACTTGATTATCTTCATAAAGATCTTATTTCCAAATAAGATCACATTCTGAAGTGCTGGGGTTTGGGATTTCAACATATCTTTTTGAGGAGACACCATTTGATCCATAATACTCAATAAATTACAAGCATATCCAGCTGGGCATGGTGGCTCACACCTGTAATCCCAGCACTTTGGGAGGCTGAGGCGGGTGGATCACGAGGTCAGGAGTTTGAGGCCAGCCTGACCAACATGGTGAAACCCCGCCTCTACTAAAAATACAAAAATTAGCTGGGTGTGGTGACATGCACCTGTAATCCCAGCTACTCAGGAGGCTGAGGCAGAGGAATCGCTTGAACCTGAGAGGCAGAGGTTGCAGCGAGCCGAGATCAGCCATTGCACTCCAGCTTAGGTGGCAGAGCGAGACTCCATCTCAAAAAAAAAAAATATATATATATATATATATATATATATGTATGTGTAAACACATCCTAGTCAAGATTTTCAAACACAGGTTAATGTAACTTCTGGTTAAATAAAACATACACTTGGGTTGTTATTTAATTACTAATGAGTCCATTCATTTAGTATTTATTGAATTCCTACTATGTGTTGGACATTCTCTAGCATCATGAAGTTCTTGAACTTGGATGAGAAACAATTTACATTATTTCTTTCATTAACCTCTAATTGAAAGCTACCAATCTTTTCTGATGTGGGTGTTGGTAACAAACCACAGTAGTATTAGTAGGACTTGTAACTTTATTACATAGAGCTTTTCAGACCATATTACACAGACCTTTTCATATGATACAACAGTTGTAGGAGAGACTTCAGTATATGGTTTATGATCTTCACTATCTTGAAATTATGAGTGATTACAATTTTTACTAGTTCTTAAGTACTCCCATTTCTTTTTTTTTTTTTTTTTTTTTTTTTTGAGATGGAGTCTGGCTCTGTCATCCAGGCTGGAGTGCAGTGGTGTGATCTTGGCTCACTGCAACCTCTGCCTCCCAGGGTTCAAGAGATTCTCCTGCCTCAGCCTCCAAAGTAGCTGTGACTACAGGTACACACCACCACACTCAGCTAATTTTTATAGTTTTTTTTATAGAGATGAGGATTTGCTGTGTTGCCCAGGCTGGTCTCGAACTCCTGGGTTCAAGTGATCCACCCACCTTGGCCTCCCAAAGTGCTGGAATTACAGACATGAGCCACCAGGCCTGGCCTGCTCCAAAGAAAATAAAAAAAGACATGTTCATAGATAGACACATATATTGTTATGAGGTTAATGAAAGAAATGATGTAAATTCTTTCTCATCCAAGTTTAAACTTTAAAAAGAATCTGGATTACTACATAATTCTTTAAGAAAGAACCATAAACTGTATACAATTTTTAATGAAAGCCTTTAGGTAATTTTTAAAATTTGAATAATTTCAATATAATTGATTTATCTTCTAAAAATCTGTATATTTTATTTTACTCATTTAAAAATGTTGTCCTGAGAAGGGTTCATAGGATTCACTAGACTCTCAGAAATTTCATCACACAAAAATGATTTAGAAACATCATTCTAGATGCTGGAAATAAAGTAGCAAACAAGTCAGACAAGGTCCCTGCTTCCACAGAACTTACCTCGGGGGATGAGGAAAGAGGAAGATGACAAACAATAAACAAAGAATCAGCAGATTTCTAGGTAGTCATAAGGGCTATGTATACAACTCATGTGTGTGTGTGTGTGTGTGTGTGTGCGCCTGTGTGTGTTTCCTATACTATATATGAGAGTAGGAGCAATAAGAGAAACCACATCATGTACAGCATGTAGACTAGGGTAATAAGATTCAGTTTGATTCCAATCACATTGTGTGTTCATCAGAGATTTTTTTAAATTGTGATTAAAAACATACAATGTAAAATTTACTATCTTAATCATTTTAAGGGTATGGTTCAGTGGCATTAAGTACATTCACAATGTTGTGTGACTATTGCTACCATCCACCCATGAAACTCATTTCATCTTGCAAAGCTGAAGCTTTATACCCATTAACCAATAACCTCCTTCCTTTCCCCAATGTTGGAGCATTGACAAGATGGGTTTTACATTTTAAAAGCATGATTCCATTAAAAAAACATGAAGACAATGTTTTTGCTATGCAAGAATAGAACCACCAACAGGAAACCAGTTAGGAAATATGGCAGATGAGAGGTGACAGTGGATGAACTATGGTGTTGGCAGAAAAGGAGTTTGAAATGGACGTTGGCAGTAAATCAGACAGGATTAGATGATGGACTGGAACAAGTATGGAGGAGGACTTGGGTTCTGTTTCGGACATGGTAAGTCCGAGTTGTGTCTTTGTGTCTTTGCCAAGTGGAAGTGTCTAACAATTGGGTAGACAAGTCAGGGTTCAGGAAAAACGCCAGAATATATTGTGCAGTCCTGGGCAAATAAGTGGTATTTGAAGCCAGGATGAGATAATCCAGAAAGATAATACAGACAAAGAACAGGCCTGGGAATAGTCTCTGGGGCATTGTCATCGTTTAGAGGTCAAGTTGAGAAGAAGAGATCTTTATGAGTGACTTGTCCAATCTTACTTAGAGAACTTAGTGTTGTAGGAACTTGGATCTCAGCTCAGACAAACAGAAAAAGCTACCAGTTGAAAATTCCATCAGACTAGTCTTAGCCAGGTTGTACTAGGTCTGGCCATGAGAGAGGGGTAATCTCATCTTCTAATTTATATTTACACCTAGGACGTCTAAGATGGCGCTGGGATGGGGGAGGCAAGACAGCACCAAGGAGAAATTGTTCTCTGTTATTTTATTCTTTATAATTTCAACTTGTATTTTAGATTCAGGGGGTACGTGTGCACGTTTGTTACACTGGTATGTTGCATGATGCTGTGGTCTGGCGTGTGACTGATCCTGCCACCCAGGTAGTGAGAATAGTACCCAATAGGTAATTTTTCAACCCTTGCCCCCTTTCCACTCTCCCCTCTGTAATGGTCCCCAGTGTCTATTCCCGTCTTTAGGTCCACGAGTACCCAACGTTTAGCTCCCACTTGTAAGTGAGAACATACAGTGTTTGGTTTTCTGTTCCTGTGTTAATTCATTTAGGATAGTGGCCTCCAGCTACAGCCATGTTGCTGCAAAGGACATGATTTCATTCTTTTTATGAATGTGGAGAAATTAATAATTTGAAAGCATTCAACACTGCTTGTACGTAGAAAACATTATATAAATGGAATTTACATAATACATATTAACGAATCAAAGAGAAGGTAAATATTTCATTGTAGAAAACCTTTGAATAAGTATCCTTTGTTTTCCCATAAATTAAGAATGCTAAACATACGTTTAAATTTTCTATTTTATTTATTTATTTAATTAATTTATTTTTTTGAGACAGAGTCTCACTCTTTTGCCCAGGCTGGAGTGCAGTGGTGCGATCTTGGCTCACTGCAAGCTCCGACTCCTGGGTTCACACCATTCTCCTGCCTCAGCCTCCCAAGTAGCTGGGACTACAGGCGCCTGCCACTACGCCTGGCTTATATTTTGTATTTTTAGTAGAGATGAGGTTTCACCGTGTTAGCCAGGTTGGTCTCGATCTCCTGACCTCATGATTCACCCACCTCGGCCTCCCAAAGTGCTGGGATTACAGGAGTGTGTCACCGTGCCTGGCCACATTTAAATTTTCTGTGTCATAAGATATACTATTTTCTATGTATTATATCTCAATAGCTATTGGATTGGTTGATCATGCAAAGTTTAAGAAGTGGTCCAAAAACAAGTTTGAAAAATTATGTCATTTTTATGTATGTGTAGTTTTTTTGGTTCTAGTAAAAAAATTTAAATGTTTTTAAGTGATCTTTAAATATCCAATAATTTATCATCTCTAAATGTACTTTTGAAAAATAAATTTTACAACATGGGATATAATATAACTTGAAAGTCATGCTGTTCATTTATTCAGTTGGTCACTACAGCCTCACCTCTTGGGCAGGATTTTAATTAATGAATTATGAACATGTTGAATGTCATTTGACTTGTGATTTGATGCTTTTAATAGTTTGTGGTTTGCTAATTATTTGGAAATCTCTCACCCCTTTGTTCTAGAAGAAGCATTCTGGTTTCTGCACGGGTTCCTCTTTGCCATACGCAAACATTTGGGAAATGGAAATAGGGAAGCAGCAGCTTCTTAGAAAAACTATAGATGAATGGAACAGGAACTGCAAAATTAGCAGAATGTAAGAGGAACTGTCGATCTTGTCCATGATTGCTTTGGCTTATTTTTTCTCCTTTGCTAGGAGACCTGTTCTGATGATGTGTGTGGTCCTCACCACACTGCCCTGCCTCACCTTTTCCATAGCAGTGACTGAGGTATGGAATTTTGACTTCTTCTGCTACAAGATTATGAGATTTTATAATTTCTTGTTATTGGAATTTGATAGAGCAGCATGCTCAACAAAGTTCTTGACATTTATGTAATCCAGTCTTCTTCCAGGTTACAACATACGTTATTTAAAGTACTAAGACTGTTGTTACATCTGTGATTATGACGGAAAGTCTAATAGCCAATTTTTAAAAATTAATTTTGTGTTTGTGTGTGAGAGACAGAAATGATATTTGAACATTTAAAAGGTGAAAAATGTGAAAGTTAATCTGTATTTGTTTTTTCTGCCAACCTGATGTTTTTCATGATTGTCCTCAATTCTAAATGAATACAACAGGATCTAAGGGAAGGACCACTTAGGTTTTAACACCTTTGATAAGATGTCCATTGATAATAATTTGTATGTGTTATTTATTTGAAAATAATGATGAGTTTATGTTTTGACTAAATATAGCTTCAGTAGGTCTTGGATAGATACCTGCAGGGCAGGAATATCTTAGGCAGAACTTTCAGGCTATAAGTACTTCATTATCCAAGAAGGTTAGAGAAGAATACCCCACTAATCCTATTGATTTGCAAGGTGCTGTGAAAGATAACTTTTGTTTTTCCAAAGCATACTTAATTTACTTAAATGACTTAATTTACCTTGTGATATTTCACTTATATGTGAAGCAAATATTCATTAAGTGTATATTACAGGCCAGGCACTGTTAGGTACAGGGCATAGGGGACTCAGGAAATATGGCAGGTCTCTGGTAGAATTTTCTGACATTAGAAATAGAAACAGGCAATTAGAACAAGTATCACAAGTGTTGTGAGACAGGGCAGTACCAAGTAACGTATGACATTAGAAATTACATGGTTGTCAGAACGCATCATAGGTGCTGCTAGAATACATCATAGATGCTACATTAGGACAATGTATGAATGCACAGAATAATTTTGGGAGGTCACACAGATGTGCTTTGCATCCAGTGAATTGCAACAGATGAATATTTCAATGTAGATCTGTCTTTTCCCCTCCCAAAGACCTTGTAAATCATTTGGAAGGTTCCCAAAAACTAAAAATTTAGTTTACAACCTTTTAAGAAACATCACTGCGGTAAACTGATGGCATATCTGGAGCTCGATAGCCCTTTTTGGTTCTTTTTTATGATGTCTCATCCATTGTTACATCTTTTTCTTTCCTTTCCTTTTTTTTCTTATTTAATTTTCACCAAAGTATAACACATAAACAGAAAAGTACACGAAAGAAAAAAGTACAGTAACAATGGAATACCACAAAACAACCCCTGGGTAAGCATCGCTCAGGTCAAGGTCAAGAAGGAAACCTTGGCCAGCTCCATGCCCACGCTCCTTTATTTGCATTTAGTATTTTATTTTAGTTTTGTATCAGAAACCCATTGCTTGCTCATTCTTTTTTTATGCTCCTTTCAATGACTCCCTTTCCCTCCTTTCCGGAAGTCACTTCTAACTTGACTTCTGATACTGCAGGCTAGTTTGCCTGTTTTTGAAATTTTTCCAAGGAAAAATCAAATGGTGTCTGGCTTCTTTTATTTCAAATATGGTTGTAAGGGTCATTTGTGTTTCTGTGAATACCTGAAGCTCATTCGTTTTCAGCTGTAGAGTATTTCATTTTATGAAAAGGTCATAATTTACTTCTGTGTTCTACTCTTGGTCGCCATCTTGGTTGTTTCCAGTTTTGGCAATTACAAATAATGCGGCTGTGAACATCTGTGAATATGTCGTTTGGTGTGCACATGCAGGCATTTTTGTGGGTTACATATGCAGGAACAGAATTGATGAATCATGAGATACTGAAATGTTACATTGTGAGAGATAAGGTCAAACAGCTTTCCACACAGATTGTGCTGATTTCTATAGCATCTCTATAGAACCCACCAGCAGAGAAGGAGCATTCACCAACACTTGCGTTGTGTTTTATTTTTTTGGAGACAGAGTCTTGCTCTGTTGCCCAGGCTGGAGTGTGGTGGCACACGTGATCTTGGCTCACTGCAACCTCCGCCTCCCAGATCCAGGCGATTCTCCTGCCTCAGCCTCCTCAGCAGCTGGGATTACAGACGCCCACAACCACGCCTGGCTAATTTTTGTATGTTTAGTACAGATGGGATTTCACCATATTGGCCAGGCTGGTCTCGAACTCCTGACCTCACGTGATCCATCTGCCTCGGCCTCCCAAAATGCTGAGATTACAGGTGTGAGCCACCACTCCCGGCATCATCGTGTCTTTTTATTTCAGCTCTTCTGGTGGGTATGATCCTGAATCGCATTGTACTTTTAAATTACATTTCTCCCGTAATTAATGAGGTTGAGTATCTTTTCATCTTGCCCATTTTTTATTGTGTTGCTTATCTTTTAAAAATCTATTTGGAAGACTCATTTTCATATTCAGATTACACAAGCCCTTTTTGATTATATGTATTGCAAATATCTTTCCTCTCTGTAACTTGTGTTCACACTTTTATATCTTTTTCATGAAAAGAAGTTCTTAACTTAAAAATAGTGTGGTTTATCTATTTCTTTCCTTTATGGATAGTGCTTGGGTCACTTGCAGAAGATTTTGTCATTGTGAATCTGAACTTCAAAGTCTTAACATCTTTCCCTAATTTTTTAATATATATATATAAA